CGGGCGCTGCACAAGACTGATCTCGGGTCACGGCCTGGGGCTGGCCGGGCGATAGGAGCGCAGGTGTCCCCGTGTCGTGGGATAGAGTCGCGATACTCGTGGCTGTCGTGTGCCCAGTGTTCATCCCGGCGCTGGAAACCTGGTCCGGGTGGTCCTTGAAGCGGCGTTTGAATTGCCTCGTACCTGTCTGTGCAGCTTACCCTTTGGTCCTCGGTGTCTGTCCTGCTCGTAGCCGTAAGGATCTCTCTTCCCTGCGCTCGAAAGAGCTGCTGCTGCCGCCGGGAGTAATTAAGAATACGTTAAAGGAGACAGCAGAGCGTAAGAATGGCAACAAGCGGAGCGAATGCGCAGTGTTCCCAGTGTTCAGCTGGTCTCTGGTCATTTCCAGCTCAGTCTGCCCTGGCCCTGTGTAGTTGTGTCTTATTTGCTAATTTCAGGGTCCAGTTTTCTCCTCATTCTAAGGAAACTTTTAGCGTTGGAAACACATCCTTTGGCAAACTGCTTTACGGCTCAATGACCTGTTCTCTGAAGAACAGCTTCCTTCTCTTGATTTGAACCAAGCCTCATCAAACGTAATTTTATGTTTCCCAAATTTTTGTTTGTCTTTCTTTTTTTTCCCCTAGCAATTAAGTGTTGTGATAGTATATAAAATAAGTTATTAGAATAGGTATATGATAGAGGGAACCAAAATAGATTAATATGTGGTATTCAATACTTAATTGGAAATATGAGTACTTAAATGTGTGTTCAAAACTTTTGGAGGTGAGAAATGTTACAGAGCTATTATGAAGCTGCGTATTTTTTTTTCCCCAGAAAAACTTGGAAGTCATTGACGGTTCCATGCAGCCATTCTGTTTTTTCATTCAGATGCGTATTTTTAAGTCTAGTCTTTCATGATAGTACTGTAGAAGGACAAGTATTTTTTTTCCTTACAGTTTGACCTACGGAGAAAAATAATTTATTCCCATATTTTGAAAAGAAACGAAAAATTATTTGTATATGACTCCTTTAGGGAGGTGAAGAACTTCAGCAGTAGAAACAGCTGCATTAACAAACAGATCTGTCATTTACATCTAATGACACAAAACTGCAAGGGGGAATAGATGCTAGTTCCCTTGGATACAGTTAGTGTTTGCTAGTTAGAAGTACAAAAGCGAGATAGGTTTCTTACTGAGTAGTTAGAACTTTCTTGCTTTAAAATGTATACAAATAAGAGGAGGTGGTCTGAATTTTGAGGTTCGTATGTAAAACAAGGTGCACTAGAATAATACTTGCTTTCTTGTATTTCATTAAACTGGAGGACCAATTTAATTGGGTTTCTGAGCAATTAAGACTGTAGTTTCACATACACATCTTACTATTACCCATCACTGCTGCCAAAAGAAACAACCCACCAAAAAAGTAACTATTTGTCTGGGTAAGTTCCTTAACTTGATTCACTCTGTGTGGCCTTGCAAACAATTATGCTGGCGCTAGTAAGTGGTGGGAGATAAGTGGACAGGCTGGTTTACACTGGTAAAGCTCTGCTTCTGCTACAAATTCATGCAAAAGTGCAGCTTTATTTTCCAAGACTGCTTATTCCATATCCTGTTAGGCTGCAGTTGCCAGCAAAATAATAGCTATGAAACACTAACAGCATCCCTTGTGTTCAAGTTCTCAAAGCACTTCAGAAAGAAATACAGTTCTCCCAGTTTTGCACCTAAAGAAATGGGGGCACAAGTTGATCCCCCCCCCCCCCAAAGTTGCTCCCCCCCCCCCCCATAGTCTCTATGTATACTGATTTATGGTTTGTGTGCTGTCAATTTAATCTTGATTTCTCTTAGGGGTGTTACCTTTGTTTATCTCAGCTACCCATGGTGTAATCATGAAGTGAATATTGAAATACCAGATTAAATTATGGTAAAATACATAGGTGCAAAACAACTGTTTTCTCTGGAATTCCAGGCCTTTGGAACTTCTTAAAAGGAATAGCTCGTGTATGGACATCTTTCTCTTCTCTCATTGGTATATGTGTGACACAAGATCAATACAAACTGTTTTATCTCGACTACCCTGCCAATGGTGAACTAGTCATTATTCCTAATTATGACTGAATTTGAACAAGTAATCTAGATTACGAAATTTCTAAGATACTTAGCCTTGTTGCCCTATGTTTTGGGATTATGCTAGAGGTTTCACTTTTCCTGGAGGTGGTGATTCTTTCAAGTGTTACTAGCATACATCCTTGCACTTGGGTATCCAACATGTGTGGTTTTTAAAGCAGGTCTCTTGGAAACAAAAGGAACATCCATAGCAAAAACAGTAAAATGGTCTAAATATAGTTACTCCATTTTCTTTGTAAAGAGTGTTTTTTACAAAGTATTTTCAATGTGGTCTTAAATACGGCATGTTTTGAAAAAGATTTTGAAAGTGGCTAAATTAAATTACATTTTAATTGCTCTCCTGCTGTACTTTCTGGTGAATCTAGATTTCTTAATACTTCGAGCCAAACATTGTATTTAATTTATATCATTTGCGTGTGTATTACAGGGTTATTTTTCCTATTAAGTTCTTGTCATGTTCTTCCTCGATCACTGAATCATTAATTGGTTTATGACAGTGCAAGTATTGTAAAAGTGAAACCTGGATGAAGAAAGTGTGACTTTTGTGTAGACTGGATAAAACTTAGACACCTGGTTAATACATCTCTAATGTGAGAAACACTTACCTACACCCTACTTCTTTAAGAGACAAAAGATGCTTACAGACATCTGAATTCTCAAAAAGAATCCTTCAGAAAACTAGGAACACAAATTTTTAACACTTTGAAAAACAGAAACAAGGAAATAAGAACATTTCAGTATTGCTACTGTTAGACATTGCATTATAGGAAAGGAACAGTGTGAGTTGAGATTTACCATTCTGCTAGTTGCCTGTGAAGAACAGACAGTGCTAAAATACACATTTTTTTTTTTTGTGCTATCTTTGTAACTGATCTTTCTCTGCAGAGCAGTAGAGACTGCTAAAGTTTTATTTCATGATACTCTAAAGAGGCAAATGCTCTGTAACTTCAGTGTTTCACTTTAGTCGCTATATCCTTTACCATACCAGTTACAGAAGTTAAAGTACTAACTAGTGCACAGCACAAATGCAGAGATCTGAGTTCTCTGCAGACACAAGGTTCTTTCCCTGATGAGTCAGCTCCTTCAAAATGCAAATGTTATTTATTTGTTTTTGGCAGAAAGTTCTGTTTCCCTTACCAAATGTCACAGCTATGCTCTCAGTGAATTTGATGCTTGAGGAGTTTTACAATTTTACAGTAAAAAAGTTTGATTAAATTTTCTTTGTTTTCTTTCCCCCCCGCTCTCATCTTCCCTTATGTAAAATAAACTTAAAAAATACTGAAGTATTGATAGACTGGTTCAAGGAGACTCAAGCTAAGAGACTGTGACAGCCTTAGAAAACTGAGCCCTTAAACAGGATTAAATGGCAGATGGTAGAAGAAATCATGAAGTTGCATGTGATAAGCTAGGAAAGTGTTTACTTTTTACATATGTGACTGCTACAGAGTGGATAAAATCATGGTAATTATATACTCTCACCGGTGTACTTTGTACTTCTCACTTCCATCTGTTTGTGGAGCTTGATGTCAGAATTGTTGAAGAGCTAGGATAGCTGGTCGATATCCTAGCTAACTGGATAGTAGAGTCAGCACCTTCAGCTGTAAAAGTGTTGGTGGAGAGAACGTGGTTCATATCTGCTCTTCAAAGCTTTGTCCACTGCACTGAGTTCGTCTTTTCTCTGTCCACATCCTTTGCACTTCAGGACTCTTCGGACTTAAGGCACCTGAAACATTTTTTTGTTAATGGACTGTTAGGAGCCCAGCACAATTTGTAATTTAGGTTGAGTAAAGACTGCCTGAAGAAGTTGCTTAGCATGCTTTTAGTAAGTGTGAAAGCAGTGCTGCCTGTGAACATTTCACTGCCACCAGTACTAAATTGTGAGCTTTTTCACTGCTGTATGTATAATGGGATTTTGTTGTTGTTAACAGGATCGCTGTTTTGGGTTGTGACAAACTCCAGCACTACAGGAACCACAGCTTCACAGTGAAGAGCCACTGCTTTCACAAGTTCTGAAACTACCAGTCAGTCTGCCTTGAATTTTGGTGTGTGCGAGTCCTTGGTGGAGGCTGCATATATACATGTTTTCATGAAGAGAAGTGAGAAGCCAGAAGGTTATAGACAGATGAGGCCTAAGACTTTTCCTGCCAGTAACTATACTGGCAGCAGCCAGCAGATGCTACAGGAAATACGAGAGAGCCTCAGGAATTTACCTAAACCCTCAGATGCTGCTAAAGCTGATCACGGCATGGGCAAAATGTTATCTGAAGATCCTAGACAAGGCCGAAATCCCCCCAAATTTGTAACATATCATAAAGTTTTGCAGGAGATAAGAAACTCACTTCTGCCTTTCGCAAACGAAACCACCTCAGCTGTCAAAGGAACATCAGAAGTTAATCGACAAATGCTGCAAGACTTACAAGCTGCTGGCTTTGATGAGGTGAAATGTTTTATTTTCAAGATTTGGTGTTCTGCTAACTATAAACTATTAGTGCCTGTTGGAGGGGGTGTTGATCATGGTATGTTTGAATGGTATATGATAAGCAAAATACCTGCTTCAAAATCTGGTAGGTTTTTAATTAGGACAAGAAACTGGTAATAGTGGGGAATGAAGAAGATGAATAAAAAGATTTAGAGAGGCTTAGTTTTTTTTTTTTTCTTTAAGTGTCTTGTACAGTTTGTTCTTATGTGGTAGGGGTAGGTTGTTTTAATTATGTAATTTTAGGCAGGGAGAACTGTGTGCTCTAGAGCATGGATTTTGCCTCTGATACTCAACAGAATTTTGGATTGTGCTCAGTTAAAACGTGTTGATAAAATATGGCCATTCTAAATTGAAAGGCAGTACCAAATAGTTCAGAAATTAATTTGAATGAGCTTTTTACATCTCTGGCTAATAGAAATTTGGCTATCCTTATTTATGCACTTTGTCAAATACAGATAAAATAATGAGGTACCTGACAAAGCCAGTTGCAGGGTGTCTTACTGCGGTATATTCTCAAGACAAAAATATCAAGTGTCTTGAAAATCTTGGACATAATTAATTATTCTGCTGTTCTCATTGTAAGAACAGGGAACTAAATAATTGTTCAATTTATTTATTTTTTAAATTATTGACTGAAACTTATTTCCATTTATTCATGTTAATAATTGAAAGGAGTCTGAAATGTGTTTTCCAGGAATAAAAAATGAATACACTTATAGTTCTTGTGCTTTTACTGGGACTTGCACATCAAAGTAAATTATACCTCTTCTCAGGCCTTCTGCTTTTGTACTCAGGTTTACAGAGTTTTTTTTAAAAAAACCAAACAAACACAAAAAAACCCTCACAAACTAGCAAACCACTCATCTTTCCAGAGGAAAAAGGCACAGCACCACAGCAGCGATTGCCTTTGCAGGAGTGCACTGCTTGCAGTAGTGACCAGCTCGCGAGTTCTGCTGGCTGTGATGCTTCAGTATTTACAGAGAGAAGTAATGCTTCGGTATTTACAGAAGCTCCCCTCTACCCAAGAGTGAGCTTCTCCAAAACTATCAACTGGCTTTTCCTCAACAATGTCCCAGTGTCAGGTGCTGATGGAAGGATTTTATAATGATAAACAATTTTATAATAATTTCCTCCTGCTCTGTGGTTTGTTGCTGAGGTTCAATTTTTTGTGGGTTTGCCTTTTTTTTTTTTTTTAAAGTAGATCAGTTCTCGGATCCATTTTTACAGATTGAACCTGCAGTCGTTTTTGCAAACTGAATAATAGTATATGGCTGGGTAGTAAACTAAAAAGGTATCTTGAATTGGCATTTTCGTTGTATCCTTTGTATCTTGAAACCTTTTGCTCCTACCTTTTGTTCTTGGGTACAACTGAGAATTCCCAGGACGCTTCTGATTACGTGGAGCTTTTTTCAGGCAGAGTGCCAGAGTAAGCCATTTCTGCCATGTGTTAAGCCACAGCTGTGTTGCCACAATAGTCTATGGCTTTGGCCTGTGAACACCATCAGGAACAAATACAGCTGAAGTAGGAAAGCATTTTTCTGGGTGGGGGGTATTCGAGACAGCAAGTAGGAATGAGAATGTATTTTGAGCTGGGATTGTTTTATGGGCTGGATCATAGCTGGGGTATGCTGGTCAGCTGTAAACGTCTGGTCTGGGCTGTTTCTGACTTCCATTAGGCATGTTTGTGATTTAGTAGATCATGTGAAGAACTTCTTAATTTCATGATCTCGGGTGCTTTACTGGCTTTCTGTAGAGACTAACCTACCTACTATGTCTGTAGTAGAGGATAACTATAACTGCTAGGTACCAAGTCCATTTTTGTTTTAATTTGCTCTGATTTGGACCTGTCTATATAAGCAGTGTTTCCTGATCTCAGCTTTTAATGAGATTTCATTAAGGTGTTGACAATGGATTTAAAAGAGCAATACAGATTTGTCTGTTTGCCATATTGTGGAGTTGCCTGTTTGTGACTCAATCACCACTTGAAGATTGGAAACAATGAATTTTTTTTGTACTTTTTTCATCTTTTTTTTTTTTAATAATATATTGAATGTCACAAATGTTCTGGTTATTCCCCACACCCCCCAAGTAGTAGGTAGTATCAGGGTTAAAGCTGAACATATAGATATCTATCAGTATCAGGTATATATATAGTGTGTGTGTATATATAGATAGTAATATATATATATATACAGTAATTATGGTAGAATGCAGTTCTTTGTGTTTGTTTGTGTGTTTTAAATATCCTGAATAGCTTATAGGAGATCTGTCTTGCTTATTAAGATTCAAGTTCAGTCCTCATATGTTCTGTGTAAGCTGATACTCTTCAAGACATTGTATACTTAATGTCGCATTGGTGACCAAGTTTTTTGTTCTTCAGCTAGAGGGGAGGGAGATCCTTTGGCTCTTACTCGGGTCCTCTCATTAGTTCAGAGGGAACTAAATTTAATGCTGGTTCTGTACTTTGAGATTCTGTGCGTCTTCATGGCTTGGTGATATGTACTTGTAGATTTAGGTTTCTATATTGTAGAATTACTTGCCTAAAAAGACAGTAAATCTGGTTTTGAAGCTGATTAAGAAGAAAATAAAAGTTGATAGGTAGAAATGCATCCTGTGGTCCTATAAAAGTATATTAAAATTGAAAATCAAATGCTCTGGACAACTTAACCTTCTGTTTGCACAATGATCAAATAGCATACTGGTGCTGAGAATGTACTTTGCAACAGATCAGTCTTGTCTATAGTAGTAGAAGTGTTGCAGACAACTGTCTTTTGAAGGGGCTGTGAGATCAAAAGTCATATCTGCTTTTTCCAACAATGTCAGCTGGTCTGTAAAGATTGTGACAACCTTATTATATATATTTTATTTTTAAATCCTTTTTTAAGTTTCTGCTTTCCTTGCTGAATTTAATTATTGTTTTTGAAGGCTATATGTAATTTTGTATGCTTGTAGTGTTAAAAATGTATACAAGCATGCTGAAATTATAAATGGGGGTTTGAATTTGAAAGTGATATTGACTACTTCCCTTCTGAGCCCTCTTTGATGTACCATTGATTTTGGTAGGAGGTGAATGCTGTCATATATAGATAATCTGTTCAAACATAATGTGAACCGAAATGGTTGCTTCGATATGGCAAAGTATGGCCATAACCAATCACTAAAGACAGCATGCTTAATTATAGGGAGTTAGTGCTGCGGATTTGTTTCAAACTTGTTGAATCAGCTGCACAAATCCTGTTCAATATAACTGGGAGAGCAGTGCCTGACTTTTAACCATCTCTGGAATTCTGCCTCTGTTGCTTCACCTTGATCTCATTCAAGCCAGCAGAAGAAACACTGGTCCATAATACGATTTCCTTTGTCAAAGCTGGGATTGGCCATCAGATCAAAACTTGTGTTTGGATCTCTAAGGATACAGAGACTAAATCTACCACAAAAATAATAGAATTTCTGCCAATAATGTTGTCTTCATCAGGAAGAATTCTTAGGGAGAAACTAATTGATAGTTGTTGACAAAAAGTCTTGCTGAGTTGAAAGGAAAATGAGCAAAACCCAAAGTTCTGGGGTACCGTTCACACTGGGGTACCATTCGTAGAATAACTTGGGTTGGAAGGGACTTCTGGTCATCATGTAACTACCTGTTACCTGGGTAGTGTGTATTGGTAATAAATGCTTATATAAGCAAACTGTTTGTATGAATAGCAGGATGATGCAATTTACACCAAACTACAGTGCTTCAACAAGTTAACTTTTTTTCCTGAAGATCCAGACGGTATTAGTGTTTTGGAGGATTTGCTTGGAGGAAACATTTTTAAAATTCGTTTTAAATCAATTGACAGAAATCAGTTACATACTTCAGTAAAATTACTGGAGGGCATTTGGTGAAATAACCATGATTTTTGATATTTTTGCCATTTTCTTGTAAATTATATATAATTTTCTCTTTAGGATATGGTTATACAGGCTCTTAGACAAACTAACAACCGTAGTATAGAAGCTGCCATCGAATTTATAAGTAAAATGAGCTACCAGGATCCTCGTCGGGAACAGATGGTTGCAGCAGCAGCAAGACCTGTAAACGCAGGTATGAAACCACCAGGTAGGTGTGTCCAATGTAACTCAGTAACTCACTGAGTATGTTCTTATAGGTGAAAAATATAAAATAGCAAATTCCTCCTTCATGTGCTCAGAATGGAACAGAGGGGATGTTGAGATACAGTGGTGTGTTTTCTTTTTTTTTTCTTTTAAAGAGAACATGTAAAGTATATAATGTAATTCTACTGAGAGATGAAGGTGCATTTGACATGAATTTCTTAAATGTTTCTTTTTATAACTGCATGGGTTTATTATTGTATGTAAGTGTTTTATACAAGGAATGGCACTCAGATCTTATTTTAGTATTTTTTGTCCCTCATTGGTGTGTGATGCCTATATTTTGTTCTCAGTGTTGCATGCCATTTAGAAGTCAGCAGTGAGCACTGAATTCTTATTTAATTTTTTGTCTCTCTCTTCACATACTCTCCCACACAGCAGCACTATGAATGTGTATTTTTGTGTGTGTGTATATATTATAGCTATGTGTGTATATATATTTATATACCACATGGCTGCAATATTTGTATTTTAGGATGTCCTGTTTCAAGATCCCTCTCTCTGCTTAATTTTTCACTTGGTGCCAGATTTTGTTTATACAGTTTTTAAGGCAGACTTCATGGTTTTTATAGATTTTGGGGGACAGACTATAGCTTTAGTAGCAACAGAGTCAGAATTTTGACACTTGCTATTAGTGGTCGCTTAACACGTACAAGTACATTTTTAATACATCCTGATGCTTTTCTTTTTTTAACACATTTTAGTAGCATACACCTAAACAAATGGTAACTTTCAAATGCAGCGGAAGTACTGAACTTTTATTTGACCAAAGCTGAGTGCTGAGCTGTTAGCACTGCAAAGTTACATTTTAAACTGACCATATAGGTGTAAGGAAAAATCAGTAGTCGAGTAGCAATGTACAGCATTATTTTCGTTTAGTCTCTGAAGCAGGCTTGGTGCTTGTGTGAAGCTGCTAGCTAAATGCCACCATTTAGCCATGACTTTCATTGTTACTTGCAAAGATATAGTAATTAGCACATTCTTTTACTGAAGATACAGTGACTTTCAGCAGTTACAGTACTGTATGTATTTACAAGTATCTCAGTAATTACACTGTAAAAAGCACAATAAGACTGCATGTACTGTCGGTTCCTTGCATGTTATTTTGTTTATATGATGGAAAATAACATCTATGCAGTAAATATATTGTAGAGTTTGGCTCTCAAGTTTTGCTTTCATACAGTTTTAATTCTTGCTTCTATATGACACTTATAAATACATAACTTTTAAAATTGAAGTACTTAAATGTCGCATGCAAGGAATAGAACAAGGTTGGATGAGCTGTATGCATACAAGGGTGTAAGTGGCCTGTTTGGTTTTACAGCATTCAGTTGAGTTTTAGTTTTAAAACACTTAGTGTTCTTACAGTGTTAAACTGGAAGGAATGGCAACATGACTAAACGTATTTTTCCATGCTATTGCTATTTTGTGTTTGTACTGAACATATCTTCTGAGAGTTGCTTGTATGTGTGATTAAAAATACGTAATGTGCCTAATAATTCTGCATATTACCATTTTTTAATTAATAGAGTGCATCTGTAATTGACACAAAATGCATCTTCAGAAAAGTGATTTCTAAAAATTGTGATACTGTAGTTTCATTGCATTTTTTTTTCCTCTTATACTGTGTACTCAGCATGTTGCCATAGCATGCCGTGTATTACTAGATAGAGAGAAATTTTTAAGGTGAAGTACAGTGGATCGTGCTTTCTTGGAGAATTCCTGTCCTATTTTTGTAGTAATTAATGCAGAAGAATAAGATATTTGAAGCAGTAAATAGAAATAATTTCTAATAATATAAATATTATGTGTTCTTCTTGTAAAAGCAGGGACTGTACAGCAGTCAGTTAACCGCAAGCAGAGCTGGAAGGGTTCTAAGGAGTCCTTGGTTCCCCAGCGGCATGGCCCTTCCCTGGGAGATGGTGTAGTTTATCGCTCAGAAAGTCCCAGCTCTCAGCCTGATGTAGGAAGGCCGTTATCTGGATCTGGCATTGCAGCATTTGCTCAGGCTCATCCTGGCAACGGACAAAGAGTGAATCCCCCGCCTCTACCACAGATAAGGAGTGTCACTCCTCCTCCTCCACCTCCTCGAGGACAGACACCCCCTCCAAGGGGAACTACTCCTCCACCTCCTTCCTGGGAACCAAACTCTCAAACAAAGCGTTACTCTGGAAACATGGAATATGTGATCTCCCGTATTTCTCCAGTGCCACCAGGAGCGTGGCAGGATGGTTATCCACCTCCACCTATGAATCCTCCACCCATAAATTCTTCCACGCAGGGTCAGAGAGGCATGAGCGCAGTCCCCATTGGCAGGCAACCAATAATCATGCAGAGTTCTGCCAACAGCAAATTTAGCTTTCCCTCAGGAAGAGCTGGAATGCAAAATGGCAATTGTCAGACAGAATTCATAGTTCACCAGAACATGGTGTCTGGGAACTCAGTGAGTCGCCAGCCACCCCCGTACCCCATGAATCCAACTAACAGGCAAAGTCCCACAGCACTACAGATGCAGGCAGGAGGATCTGCTCCTCCTTCAGCATACACCAATGGGAATCTTCCTCAAGCAATGATGGTGCCAAATAGAAATAGTCACAACATGGAACTTTATAATACAAACGTAGCTGGAATACCTGCGTCCTGGTCACAGCCCTCCTCTGTGCAGTCTCAGTCATCACCTGGCAATGGGCATGACATGCCTACATGGCAACCCAACGTTCCCGTACGGTCAAATTCTTTCAACAACCACCATGGAAACAGGCAGAGTCACTCTAGCAGTTCTCAGCCTTCAGCTACAACAGTAACAGCTATAACGCCAGCTCCCATTCAGCAACCGGTAAAAAGTATGCGTGTGTTAAAACCAGAGCTACAGACTGCCTTAGCACCCACTCACCCTTCCTGGATGCCACAACCAGTGCAAACTGTTCAGACCATTCCCTTTTCTGAGAGTCCATCTACTAATATGGCAGTTATGTCTCCTGTTGCAGAGGCTCCAAATTACCAGGGTCCCCCACCACCTTACCCAAAACACTTGTTACACCAGAATCCCTCTGTCAATCTGTATGAGCCAGGGCCCAAGCTCAACAAGGAGGAACCACCTATTTTGTCCAAGGAGGATGAGAATGAAAAGAATTATGAATGTGTTGATGCAACAGATAAAGAAAAGAAACAAATTACAACATCACCTGTTCCTGTTAGAAAAAACAAGAAAGATGAAGAAAGAAGAGAGTCTCGCATTCAAAGCTATTCCCCTCAGGCCTTTAAATTTTTCATGGAGCAGCACGTGGAGAATATACTCAAGTCACATCAGCAGCGTTTACATCGGAAGAAACAACTAGAGAATGAAATGATGCGGGTAAACTCTTCTTTCTAAATCTATAACTAGAACTGTTGCTGTATTAATTTTAAGAAATACGTCTTAATTGTACAATGTTTAAATAGTACAGGTAAACAGAACATTGTGGTATATTGTAGTATTGAAGTCTATTTTTAGTTTTTGTGTTTGAGATGTGGCAAATTCTGCATTGCTTTGTTTACATACTTCATTGTCGTCTTAGAAATTAATTTTTTAGTAAGATTTTTGCGTGTCTAAACGTAGTTCATGTGGCTTATGTATGATGGGGCAGCAGAATCAAAATCATTGTTGCATGAACTAAGATTTAACTACATGGCTCTTAGCTTTTTGTTATGGGTTCTATTTAATCCTGATTTTTGACTGAGTAATATGCAATATTTTAATTATTTTAAAAAACATTTTTAGTTTTTTAAAATAAACACTGCAGATACAAGTAGCAAAGCAGGGAGAAGTGGTAGGCTGGTTAGTGTGTTTGTATAGTCACCCAAACAGCAATATCTTTCGCGTTCTGCAGTTTGTTTCCAGTAGTGATAGGGTTTTTCAGTTCACATTAAAAAAAAAAAAAATTCAATATTTAAAATATGCATTTTTAGAATGAGAGACATGGTGCCTTTTGCCCAAGTATTTTATAATCCAGGCTGTAAGGATATCTGTTTAAACAAGGGGTAACTGAATGGGATAATAAAGAAACGGATATCAACAAAAACATGTAAAATCAGCTTCTTTGTGGCTACATGAAGACAGTGGTATATTTCTGGGATTTCAGTGTTATACTAAACCAAATCAAACGGGTAAAAACTGGAGCTGATGTATACATATGCCATTTCAAAAAAGAAAATAGTGAGAAGCAGTGAAATTAAGATTTGCAGAGGTGGAAATTCAAGACGTATGACTTATGTCAAACTTTCAACTACAATTATTAAGAAATATATATAAGTATGATGTACCTCTTAATTTATTGTATGAAAGAATGTATCTGGCTTATGCCACTTTCTTGAAGTGCTGTATTTTAAATCCGTATTTTCTTACTCTCTGAAAATTCTTACTGTAAGCTGTAGTGTATTGTAAGTGTTTGCTTAGTCACAAATATGTGAATGTTAGCAAGATTTCTTCCTGGAACTCTTTCTAGATCTTTATTCTTAGTCTTCTCTCTTTCCTTTTCACTTCCACTAACAGCTGATTTAAACTGTTAAGGTGTGGGAAGCTTTCCTGAACTCTGTAGCCTCCATCCCTGTGTAGACAAGTAAGATTTTGGAGCAACAGTATTTATTAAGAATAGCATGATCCATTTTTTTAGAGGGTTTTGCATGCAATCCTGCATCAAAATTAAGCATGAATTTATTTTGACTATTTTTGAGTGCTTAAATGTAAGATTAATGTTGATTGCAAACTTCACTTTCCCTTCCTACTGTGTTGTGTTCCATAGTGTCGCAAGCATAAGTATTACTTGTATGAAAGCACTGATACAACTTTTCTTGGTATTTTTCTTGTGCGTTTGAAGGACCCTATTAAATGTCTTTTATTATATGAAACGCAATTTACAATATTTATGCTAAATTTAAAGCTAGGATGTGTATTTACAGGCTAAAGGGTAGAAAATGGGGTGCATGCTGCAGCAGACCTCTCCTTTTTCATAAGGCTATAGGAGCAGAATCTCACAATAATTAAGTATATTTTGGGTCTTCATGAGAAGGAGAAAGGGAAACTAGCTCATTACTTACGGTAATCAGGTCTTCAAATGTCGTCTTGACATTTGTAAGTCTTCAAAAATCCGTCCTTCTGCATTGAATGTGCCTTAAGCATGTTCATTCACAGAAAAAAATCAGATATTTTTGTCCTAGAAGACAGTGCCTGGGTTTTCCTGCAGTAATGTGTTGAGAAATACAGTTTTCTTGATTCAGGGTAGGGAGTTGAACCTGTTTCCCACATCCAGTCTTGAAACTACTGTTACCCATTCCTGGCTACTGTCTGTCTGATATAGACAAAAAATTTTGTCTCAAATTTGAGACAGCGTTCCCCATTTAAATCTTACTGAATTTATATTCCTTGTGAAGTTTGTTTGAGTAGACGAGCGTTTTGTATGCATTTTCCTAATTGCATCTCCTTTTTGTTATGATGCCTGTAAGAAGAAATTTTCTGTGTTCTAACAGTATTTTCTTTAATAGGTGACATATACTATCCTGAAAACATTTTTAAGATGTTGGTTGATATTTAATTAATCTTTTATCTCACCCTTTTTCTCAGTCACATCTGTTACATTTTGTTTCAAATTATGTTGTAAGTTAGGCAAAGTAGAAATCATCTATTGACACGCAGTTTATACAGGCCTAGACTAGTCGATACCTAATCCTGATGATGGTCCTGAGTACTGTTATGCGGACAGTATCTTAAACATTTGAAACACTAAGGAGATGGAAGCAGCAAGATTTGGTATGAAGAATCGATAAAATGTAACAATAAGAAATTGAAAACTTCTAGAATAGTGCTTGAGTAACGGTTGTGATGTTTGCAGGGATTCAGTTTGGCTATGTTCAATTTTACCATCAGAACATCTAGGGGAAAAAAAATAAGGAAATATACTGTAGGTTGAACTTGGAAATCATTGCTGTAGAGTGGTGATTGCCAGCCAGGTAGGCAGATAAAATAATTGAGATGCTATGAAAAATGGAACATACAAGATTTTGAAAATGATGACAGAAAGCAAAAGAAGGAGGGAACATAAAGCTATGTGGGGGCAGTGTCACAGAGAAAAGAATGTAAAAAAAAAAAAAAAAAAAAATTAAAGAAAGATTCTGCTCACATTAAAACCAAAAAGAAGGGCTATTCTGATTCCAGCGCCTGAAACTTACCAAGAAAGATGGCACTGGAATTGAATAACGCTTTAAAGCGAACAAATGAAGCCAACAAAAATACTCAAGAAGAAACCCAGGTTGGAATACTACGAGAATGGTCAGTGTGGTTCTTGTAGATAAGGGTTTCCACACTGTAGGTGATGAGGTATGTGTGGCCTGTGAGTGTTTCAGCTGTCAGAATGCTAGTGGTGCTATCCAGAACACCAGGGATGTTCATTCAAGATAGGGATATGTACACAGACGGGAGCCAAGACCTGATACTGTGGGCAGGAGTGAGCCACTTCAACGAAATTGCTGTGCTCAACTTGTTGGTATGTAGAGTGGAGAGTGGTAGAGAGAGTGTGACTGAAGTGCTGTTAGAAAGAGGTGGGTTATGTTGTAAGAGGGAAGATCAGGTCTTGGCTTGCGGCAGAGGCAGGTCCTTGGTGTGGGTGGACAGTAGGAAGCAGTGCCGTGTGGATCTGGTTTGTGTAGCTACACAGGGAAGCGTGAGAGTCGCGTAGCCCCTTCTGCAACTGAAATTCCACTGTCACGGTCAGGAAGTGTAGTGACTTTCTGCTCTAGCTCATCTAGAGAGTGGAAGCCTTTCCCACTGCAGCTTCTTAGTTTAGCCCTCAGCGACTTACTGCTCCTAGGCACATCTTGGCTTCCTTTAGCTATGCAAAGAGAATCAGGAAGGCAGTTGATGCACACTGTTCCTCAGATAAGTATTATTTGCAGTGGGTTTTATCAGTAGCTTGTAAATTACCCTTTCTGTCCTTGAGAACATACTCCCTTCTCAAGAACCTTCTGCTGCATGGCAGCTCATGCATTTTGTTGTTGAAAGTGATCACATTTTGTTTTGTATCACTCCTACATGTTTTCATAGAGTCCTAATGTGTAAACTTAACAAAAAAAAAAAAAAAAAAAATATAAGTATTTGGTTTGCTTTGTCTTAGCCTTGTAATTATAAGATCACAAAAAATTAAGAGTACTGTTCACTCTTCAGATTTAATTCTGTTTGCTGCACAGGTTGGATTGTCACCGGAAGCCCGAGATCAAATGAGGAAAATGTTGTGCCAGAAAGAGTCAAATTATATTCGGCTAAGAAGAGCTAAAATGGACAAGTCGATGTTTGTAAAAATTAAAACTCTGGGAGTTGGTGCATTTGGAGAAGTTTGCCTAGCAAGAAAAGTGGATACTAATGCTTTATATGCAACAAAAACTCTGAGAAAAAAAGATGTATTGCTTAGAAATCAAGTTGCTCATGTTAAAGCTGAGCGGGATATCCTTGCAGAAGCTGATAATGAGTGGGTGGTTCGCCTGTACTATTCATTCCAAGATAAGGACAATTTGTACTTTGTAATGGACTACATTCCAGGAGGTGATATGATGAGTCTTCTAATTAGAATGGGTGTCTTTCCAGAAAATCTGGCACGGTTCTACACAGCAGAACTGACCTGCGCAGTTGAAAGTGTTCATAAAATGGGCTTCATCCACAGAGATATTAAACCTGATAATATCTTGATAGACCGTGATGGTCATATTAAATTGACTGACTTCGGGCTCTGTACAGGTTTTCGATGGACCCACGATTCAAAATACTACCAGAGTGGTAAGCGAAATATAACAGGTTTCTTTGTTATTTTGTTGATGTGTCATTTCTTGCAAGGAATTAAATAATAAATGAGTAGAAAGATGACTGTGCTGCTTCCTTTCTGAACAATAATGTATCTAACGATATGCCTGCACATCGCTCAAATTATAAAAAGCAACGTTTAGTTAAAGTTTGTAAGTGTGAGCATTGGTTCCTTAAGAGAGAAGGAATGAGCTGTGCTGCTGTTGTGTGTCCCATTAGTGGCTTCTGAAATTTGGAGAGAGAAAATCACAGTGATAGCAAGATAATTGCATCGACAACAGTCCTAATTCTGTTTTGAAGATAGGACTGATGTTTTAAATTTGGTTTTTCTTGAAAACCTTGTTCTAAGTGTCTCATGTACTTCCTTTTAGTGTAACCTTTTGATTTCTGAGAAATATTTAAGTAGGCTTTTAAAAATCCTACTTGATTACTTAAAACAACTGTTAAGAAAAAGATTAAAAAAAAATCACAGTTGTGAGTGATAAAATACTGATTTTGTAACGACATATCTTTAATTTTCAAAAATAAAAACATACCTTCAAAACCAACTTTTAAATTACTTTTGACTTGTTTTTATGAAAATATCATGTAACTTAGGCCAGACTGTTATACGGTCTCCGGAGAGAAGTTGAAGATTTAAAATCTGATCTTATTTTTTGATGCTTTAAATATTGGGTTTTTTTCTATTTATATAAGAGTGAGAACAATATACACCCTGTATCCCCAATGTGGTTATGTTAAGGAAAAACTGAGAAAAGGTCAAACTTGATACTTTCTCATAGTTATGTCAAAAATTAACTTTAAAAAAAAAGTCCTCAAAAGTTGGTATTTTACATCATAAGCAAAAAGTCAAAATCCTGATGTTGATGGCCTTTTTAGCTCTCCAGTTGAGTGTTGAAATTGAAACAGAATGTGTCTTACAACAAGAAATGTTAACAGATAAAGTTTTGTACTAGTTAAGAACTACAGCAATTGTCCTCAATTTTGGCATCTTTCTTGCTCAATTATAGGTGATCATGCACGTCAAGACAGTATGGATTTCAGCAATGAATGGGGTGACCCAGCAAATTGCAGATGTGGAGATCGACTGAAGCCACTTGAACGCAGGGCTGCACGTCAGCATCAGCGCTGTCTGGCCCATTCTCTTGTCGGCACACCCAATTATATTGCGCCAGAAGTATTGTTACGAACAGGTGATGCATTCTTGTATTGTAATCTCGCTGCAAAGTAACTGATACTCGGGTAGTTTGCTTCACCTTTCTTACACTGCCACTTTTCCCAAGTATATAATATTTTGACAAAAAATAAATGGTTGTTAATATGGAACTCTTAAACGAATATTGAATAGAATTTTCTTGTGAACCTTTTTTATTCTTAGAAATACAAGATTAAAATTTATGCGTCATTTCAGGTTACACACAGTTGTGTGACTGGTGGAGCGTTGGAGTAATTCTCTTTGAAATGTTAGTGGGACAGCCTCCGTTCCTGGCACAAACACCACTGGAAACACAAATGAAGGTAACTTTAAAAGTCTCGTATTAACAGTCTGAAAAAGCAGGCATGAACTATACATAGTCTTTCTAATTTGTAATGGAATTGAAGGTGATTTTTGAGAGTACTGCTCTATCCAGGCATGTTATAAACTAACAAGATTTTAAATTTTACATTACTGTGGCAGTGCACTTAAATTGTAAGGGGATTTCAAGGATCATGTTCATACATTTAATCTGGTCATACAGTAAACATGCCAACTAGAAATCACACTTCAGATCTCAGCTGTTCCCTTTCACTTCCTGCACCTGTCTGGTTATTATTTCTACTGTCTTTTCTTCCCCTCTTCCAGTATTTGGGTGTTCTTTTCCCACTGCTTGGTTTCCATGCCCACTGACCTGCAGAGGATTTCCTTTGGTGATGTGTCTGTAGGTGCTCAGCACGCAAAGGTGGAGGTGCAGCAGGTGACTGTGGCTGCTCAGGGTTACTGGCAGCTCAGAGCCACTGGTCCCTTTCTTCCTGAGCCCCAGCTGTTTCAGGGAAACCATCGGGGCAATCAATGGCACATGTCATTTTTGCAAAAACTGCATTCAGCCTGCAAGATACTGGTTGGCTCAAATGTAGTGCAGTATTGATGTTTTTAACTTCAGATCTGTTACTCTTTCCAGTGCATCAAATAAATCAAAATTTATTTGCCCTACCCTCTTTCTAATATTGTAAACAGTTTTCAGGCACTGGTTTTTATGGTGTCTTTGTTGGTTTATAGCAGGGTTATTCAGTGCCAGACTCTAGTTTAGATCTGGAATGTGAATAAACTTCACCTGTATTTTGCCAGATTTCCAGACAAAGTATTCCTTGTGTTTATGAAAGAGCAGCTTCACGTTTTCCCCTCTTTATTGTGAAAACACGTGTTGAATGATTGCTTTGTGGCTGTTAGGGTTTTTTGTTTGTTTTGTTGTTTTAATATTCACTGCCGTTTTTCCTTTTTATGAAATTGTAAATAAAATAACATCTCTTTTTGCTTTAAAGGTTATCAACTGGCAAACCGCACTTCATATTCCACCTCAAGCTAAATTGACTCCAGAGGCCTCCGACCTTATTATTAAACTCTGCCGAGGGCCAGAAGACCGTTTAGGCAAAAATGGTGCAGATGAAATAAAAGCTCATCCATTTTTTAAAACAATTGATTTTTCAAGCGATCTACGGCGGCAGTCCGCTTTCTACATTCCCAAAATTGCACATCCTACGGACACATCAAACTTTGATCCAGTTGATCCAGATAAATTGTGGAGTGATGATGATAAGGAAGGGAACAGAAATGATACACTTAACGGGTGGTACAAAAATGGAAAACATCCTGAACATGCTTTTTATGAGTTCACCTTCCGAAGGTTTTTTGATGACAATGGCTACCCGTACAACAATCCAAAGCCCATTGAGTATGACTACAGTAGTTCCCAAAACTCAGAACAGCAGTCAGATGATGATGATGATGATGATGAACAGGCAGGCAGAGGGGTCCAGAATCGTGACCTGGTTTATGTTTAGTAGAGGAATAAAGATTAAAAGCTAAATAAACTTATTTTGTAGCTGCAATTTTGGAAAAGTCTCTTCTCTTAAGAGATCTAAGAGAAGGTTGCTAGGGTAAATACATGCACGCTTTTTTTTTTTTAAACATTAAGAAAAATGTATCTT